AGAGAGAGATGGAGTGTGGGTTGGGTTGGGGGTGACATGGAAGTGAGGCATGGAGGTGAGCAAATGGGGGTGAGACCGGTGGGAGTCCGGAATGAAGGTGAAGCATAATGATGGAGTGTGGGGTGGGGACGGGGCGGGGTTAGAACTCCGGTTTGGGGTGACAAGGAGGTGGGGCATGGAGCTGGGTTGTGGGTGTTGGAGAATATATATCATATATCTCGATGGGTTTACTGATCAGTTCATTGGTTAAGTACTTTTGCTTGATAAATCACCTCTGTTGGTGGTTCCGCCCTCCTCTCATCACTTCCCCATTCCCCCCTCCCCTCATACGAATGCACACATACACACACACGCACGCGAATACAAACGTACACACATAAACAAACGCATAACCACACACACACATACAGACATACACACACACACACACACACACACACACACACACACACACACATACACACACACACGTACGTTCACACATGCACACACATTCACACACACAAAGAATCACAGACATAAATGCATTGCTTAAGAAATACACATCTACTCAAACACAAAGAAACACATACAAACACACACTCATCAAACACACAAAAAAGAAATCCACAAATTAATGGACAAGCGTCTATCCTCAACAACAAGCCCTACTCAACAAAAGGGGAGGGAAACGTACGTCTCCTCTCCTCGGTAAATGCGTCATCAATATTTGATCAGGCAGCAAGCTTTGCCACTTTCGGCAGTCACTCAATAATACATAACAGCATTTTCTTTACAGGCAGGAAAGTGGCAGCATGGCGTTTACAACCATATGGTAGAGCTGGGCGAAGGATCGATTCAGGAACCGATTCCCGTGATTTATGCTACGGAAGAAAAGTACCGATTCCTTTTTACGTAAACCAATGGTTACCAGTTACTTTAATTATTAAAATCTTCTTCGCTTAAAAGAAACACTACTTTTGAAAAAAATAAGCTGATGCTTCGTAGTGTTTCGAAATCAAGGTTATCCTAAATCCTGAAGATGTTCGGAGCCAATCAGGTAACCACCGGAAGAAATCACTTTATTAGAAAGTAAGTAATTGGGTTCGGAGTCGATTCATACTATTTCTTACTTTCAATAATCGGGAACCGAGCCGCCCAGCACTACCATATGGTCAGTGAATTGTGCTTGTTTGGTACGTTTTCCGGCGGTCGCAACTGCATAAGGTAATATGATCGCGCATTTAGTTGCACGAGTAACAAAGGATGTTTTTGTCTTATATGGCTCGTTTAGTAAATGTCATTTTTGTCGGCCAGCAGTTTAAATGTACTCAGCCCCCCAAAAAATATTTTTCAGGAGAGAGAGAGAGAGAGAAAGAGAGAG